ATCACCAAGCAATATACTACCTTAAGGTACTAACTTTAGTACCTTAAATATAAACAATTTGTATCTGTCCGTTATATATTCCAAAAAAGCTGGGGAAAAGGAACAAATTATTGATTCATCCATAATTATATTGAATATTATGGATGAATCTCGTAATATTTATGCTGAGTGAAATAAGTCAGAAACAGACGTGTCTAGACTAAACAATACTCTTTTTTTAATATTTTATTGATTTTATACAGAGAGGAAGGGAGAGAGATAGAGAGTTAGAAACATCAATGAGAGAGTCATCGATCAGCTACCTCTTGCACACCCCTACTGTGGATATGCCCGCAACCAAGGTACATGCTATGACCGGAATCGAACCCGGGACCCTTCAGTCCCCAAGCCGACGCTCTATCCATTGAGCCAAACCGGTCCTGGCTACAATACTCTTTTTTTAAAAAAAAATTTTATTGATTTTTTTACAGACAGGAAGGGAGAGGGATAGAGAGCTAGAAACATCGATGAGAAAGAAACATTGACTAGCTGCCTCCTGCACACCCCTACCGGGGATGTGCCTGCAACCAATGTACATGCCCTTGAACGGAATTGAACCCGGACCTTCAGTCCCCAGACCAACGCTCTATCCACTGAGCCAAACCGGTTTTGCTAGTACCCTTTATACAAAATGCCAAGTAAAGGCCTGGCCGGTGTGGCTTCAGAGTTGAGCGTCGACCTCTGAACCAGGAGGTCAAGGTTTGATTTCCTGGTAAGGGCACATGCTCAGGTTGCAGACTCAATCCCCAGCGGGGGAGGGGGCATGTAGGAGGCAACCAATCAATGATTCTCATCATTGACGTTTCTCTCTCTCTCTCTCTCCCTCTCCCTTCCTCTTTGAAATCAATAAAAATATACTTAAAATGCCAAGCAATGGATAGAAAGCAGACCAGTGGTTGCCTGTGGGTTGGAGGGAAGAAGGCCTGGATGAACAAAGGGAACTTTGGAGATGATATGTGCTCATGGTCTTGATGGTACTGTAGCTTTCTTGGGAATATACATATGCCAAAAATCACTAAGTATACCGTTAGGGTATGTGCTATTGGGGCACCTTGTTTATATAGCTGTGAAGACGTGACTGAAGAAGCTCAGAGTGAATGATTTAAAGCACATGTGTCAAACACAAGGCCCTTGGGCCAAATCCGTCCCGCCAGGCCTTGCAATGTGGCCCGCACCGCGCTGTCATCACTGCACTCCGCTGTGTTTCCATCACAATGACAGTTTATGACTGTTCAGTAAACCATTCAGCCCGCGATTTAGGCTGGATTTTAGATTTTGGCCCCTTCTCTGATTGAGTTCGACACCCCTAATTTAAAGCATTAATCCTCCCAGTATTTGCTGGCATTGAGATCCTCCTGGGGTGCTTGTGGAAAGCTGATGCTCCCTGAAAGAAGCTGGAGAACTGTGCTTTCAACAAGAGCCCCCAAATTTGTCAAGCCCGGAGTGGCTGGGAAACTGGTATAAAGTGATGGTAACTTTCCTCATCTTGACCAAACTATCATCAGGTGAAGCCAGATGAAACCTCCACCATCAACATTAGGGGAAAACAAATGAGGATTTGTTTCCTAGCGAGCTCATGAGCTCTCTCTCTAACATGGACACTGATCATTAATTACCATATAACAAGTGCTTGTCACCAGTCTCTCCTTTAAGGAGTTTTCTCAGCTCCTTGGCATCTAGGCCTTGATTATTGGATTAACTGAGAGAAAGCTACACTGACCTGTGAAAATGCCTCTCCATGAGACCCTATTTGTCACAGGTTTCAATCAAGATCCCTTCTCCTATAAAAGCAACACGAAGAGCTGTGTTTGGCATTTCATCTTGAAGGGTGTTTGCTGATTTCCGTTGTCCAAAAGCCGCATTTAATACCAGGTAAAGCACGCTACAATTTTTTTTCTTATATATAAAAGTAGCGGTGTGTTTGGAAGTCATTGAAGATGCTCTTTTTCTTAACTAGGTGAGGTCAGGGATGGCTTTTTAGGTTCACTGACCGTTGCAATTCCTCAGAAGTGGGTTTCTCGGTATACTCTGTTTTTCTCTTGTTTTTATTTCATTATGTGTAAATGTATTTTTTAAAAACTATATAAGCATTGTAATTCTTTGTCTTCTATGTGTATGAAATACATAATTCCAGACTGACATCTACCAAAACTTTGTGTAATGTGTCTTACATTATGAAAGTAATATTTCTCTTTTATGGTGTCTCTGTTTCTTTTTTTCTTTTTTAAATTTATCTTTATTGTTGAAAGTATTACAATGTTCCCCCTTTTTCCCATGTGGTGTCTCTGTCTCATTTTTTCCAAATGAAATATGGATTTCACATTTTGGGACGACCAAAAATAAATAAAACATATATTTAATCTGAGGAATTAGTAAAAACACAAAACAAAAACACACACACTTGGAAATGGAGGACTTTAATAAGGAAAACCTAAAATAACAAATCCACTCTTGCTGGAATGAACTAAAACCTATGTCTTAGAAAAGTGACAAGTGGTAGGTTTTTATGGCAATCCCATAAAAATTATTAGCATTTCCTGAACGAGACGAGAGATATAGTCAGATAAAAAAAATTATTTCAAAGTTAGTCTAGCCCAGCTGGGTAGCTCAGTTGGTTGGAGTGTTGTCCCATACATCACTCTGGTTAGATTCCTGATCTGGGAACTGTGGAGGCAGCCAATCGATGTTTCGCCCTCTCTGCTCCCCTCCCCCACCTTGGCTACTCCTTCCCCCAAAATCAATGAACATATCCTCTGGTGAAGTTTATTGTTTTTTTTTTTTTTGTTTTTTTTTTTTTAAGTTAAGTCTATAATTATTTACCAATATAATGTAATAAAATTGAAGAACAAAATGGTATGGCTACTGGAAAAATGATTTGTGTGTATGTGGAAATGACTGTACAATTAGAAAATCTAGAATCTTAATTAAAAAGTGGCTCAGAGGATTAAGGGTCATCCCACAAGAGGTTGCTGGTTTGATTCCCAGAGCATATGCCCAGGTTGTGGGTTTGATCCCCAGTAGGGGCTTGTAGGAGGCAGCCCATTGATGTTTCTATTTTCTCTCCCTCTCTCTTCCTCTTTCTCTAAAAAGTCAATAAAAACATATTTAAACATTTTAAATTATTTTAATAAAAGTGACTAGCTGCAAATATTAGTAAACAAATTTAATAATTTTCCTGTGTAATATAATTACCTGTTGAAATAGACCTGATAAAATCCCCTATTATAATATATAATATGAATTATATAAAATTATATGATATAATTGCAGTTGTATAAATTTATATATCATATGTAAGGTCTATGAACATAACTGTAAATAGTAAATGGAAAATAAGAATAAAATTATTATGAAGAATACAAAGATGAACTCGATTAGTAGAGAGCATTTTCTGAAAAGGAAGATACAGCATTATAAAAATATAATGTCTTCCAAAGAAATTATTTTTCCACATTTCAAACCCCCCACCCCCCAACATATCTTTGTGCTGAGGGTAATGCCAAGGAAAGTCTGAAAGATGAGTTGAAGAGGAACACCTGAAACCAGACAATAAAAGAGGTTCTAAATCAACACAATTGGGAATTGGCAATGGAAGTAATGTGTCAAAGCATAGCCAAGGGAATAGGTTTGTTTAATATGAAGCAGCTGGCATTTCAAACTAATGGGGAAAGACGGTAGAGAAATAGTTGATTTTTCATGCAATGTAGAAAAATTCTCAATATATTAAAATGAATAACAATAAGATCAAAACCTAGGACTTCATGTGGCTCAGTGGTTGAGCGTCAACATATGAACCAGGAGGTCAGTTTGAATCATAATCAGGGCACATGACCAGGCTGCTGGCTCAGTCCCCAGTAGGGCGGACAGGAAGCAGCCAATCAGTGATATTCTCTCATCATTGATGTTTCCATTTCTCTCTCCCTCTCCCTTCCTCTCTGAAATAATATATATATATATATATATTTTAAACAAAACAAAAAATAGAACCTTTGGTGGGAGTTCAAATGTCCCTTGTTAGGCTTTGTCTCAAGTGCATGTTGCTTTCAGCTTCTATTATTATATTATATCTGAATCTAAATGAATTAATTGGGCCCTTTTTCTGTGTTCCATAACACATATCCTAGAACTATCAAAGTATAACAGTCTTTAGTATACTCTCTCTTGAGTAATTCTGACACTCCTGAAAATGCAATGTATATCTTAAGTCTTTATACATCCCCAGACAAACTTCTGGACTATGGGCAATACCCCAATTCAATACTGGTCTCTCTGTAAAGGTTTCAGAAGTTTATGATAGCTTCATGAAGGTTTTAGAAGGAGTATTACCCAGTGGCATGGCTCAGTGGTTGAGCATCGACCTATGAACCAGGAGGTTGAGGTTCAATGCCTGGTCAGGGCATATGCCTGGGTTGTGGGCTCAATTCCCAGTGGGAAGCTTGCAGGAGACAGCTGATCAATGATTCTCTCTCAACATTGATGGTTCTATCTCTCTTTTCCTTTCTTTTCCTCTCTTAAATCAATTTTTAAGAAGATTTAAAATATATATACCAATTATCCCTGACTTCCTGGCATCCTTCCTCAGTTACCCTAGCCCCATGGTCGGCAAACTCATTAGTCAACAGAGCCAAATATCAACAGTACAACGATTGAAATTTCTTTTGAGAGCCAATTTTTAAAAACTTCTTCTAAGGCCACTTCTTCAAAATAGACTCTCCCAGGTTGTGGTATTTTGTGGAAGAGCCACACTCAAAGAGCTGCATGTGGCTCAAGAGCCGCAGTTTGCTGACCACAGTCCTAGCCAATAGCCCTTTGTTTGACATCATCAGGATACGTGATAACTTAAGAGTGAATGGATTTCAAAACCTCAGCTAGAAGTAGTGTCATGCTAAATGGGGTGATAGGTTTCTAATCAGCCTCTGACTTACCTGACTTTATTTTGTTTTTCCTTTTAATTTCTGCAGATAAGACTCATCATGATCCCACCTTCTCCAGAAGCTTCTGACCAGAGGAGTTGGTTGCTGAGAATATGGGAGGGGTGGTTTCCTCAGGATATTTACAAATGCATCTGGTTGTTTAATATTGGATTGATCATACTCCTCCTGGGAATTTCTGTGGAAGCTTTTTTAGCAAGCTATATACCTTTTTCTCTTGCAATGATAATGACTGTTACTGGAGTTGTTTTTGCTGCTATTGTTGTAATGTTCACTTTGTATGAAGCACGCCAAAACTCATCTTTCACCTTAGAATCATCAAACCTGAGAAACACTCAGAGGGACAGAAACATCGATTTTGAAATGGACACATGGGAAGCAGGCACTAGACTATAACTTTTATTAAACCCAAATAATTTGGGCTTTTAGACCCCATGTACGCATTGTTTTAAATAGAAATAAACTCTGGCTTATAAAGATCTTATTAATATTATCTGATTTTGGAATGTGCTTGTTCCTTGTTGCTTCTGTGAAATCTCTATTTCTCCAGAAATTCTTGCTCTCTCAAGAAGGAACCAGTTTCTTCTTCCCTGTTGCTTCAACTATCTATCTTCTTGCTCTCATCCTACCATCATTGAAAATTTGGCCTCTGCCTCTCGCTCTGGCTCTTTACATCAATTTCTGTACATTGTAATGTGCAGAGAGGTGACCAAGCCAAGACAACAGGTGTTGATTCATGGCCCTCTTCACCTGCAAAGTCCTGTTCTTCTCTTCCCCATCAGTTACTTACTTCCATGATAGTGTCCTGTACCTTGTCAGGACCCCAAAACTTCCTTGCAGACATCCCAGCCATTACGACACAGCCCCCTTTTTACTCAGAAAATATATCTTGTGCCTTTCACTTGTCACAATTCTCAGATGTCATGGACTTCTCCAACCCTTAGATGCCACTGCCTCTTTACTTTTTCAGAGCCCTTGACTTTCTTCTTATCCCTCATGGGCTCCTAACTTTTCATACCCTTCAGACCCTCCTGTAGATTCTGGTAACTTCACTGGACTATCCAATGTATACAACAAAGCCAAGAAGCCAAACCTCCTGAGAAATGACACAGTAAAGATTCCTTCAAACCATGACGACTAACCTCAAACAGGCACTCCCGCTGCCATTCTCTGATTTACTGTGGCTCCTCTTTTCCCTACTGCCCAGGCAGATTCCTCTGTAAGCACATTGCCTTAAAATCATATCTCCCTTGGCTTCATAGGTGAATTGTTCTAAACGTTCAAAGAATTAAATTATTCCAAAAAGCCGAAACTGGTTTGGCTCAATGGATAGAGCGTCGGCTTGGGGACTGAAAGGACCCGAGTTTGATTCCGGTCAAGGGCATGTACCTTGGTTGCGGGCATATCCCCAGTAGCAGGTGTGCAAGAGGCAGCTGATCGATGACTCTCTCTCATCGATGTTTCTAACTCTCTATCTCCCTTTCTGTACAAAATCAATAAAAAATTTATTACAAAAAATTAAGAGGAGGAAAAATATCTCAAACTCAAACTCAGTTTATAAGGCCAGCATTACCTTAATGCCAAAATCAGATAAAGACACTATAAAAAAATATATAGGCTAATATTCCTGATGAACATAGATGCAAAAATCCTCAAGATATTAGCAAACCAAATTCTACAATACATTAATAAGTTAATATATCATAATCAAGTGGGATTTATTTATGGAATGCAAGGTTGGTTCAATATCCACAAATCAATATGATATACCACATAATATAAAACATAAAACCCATATAATATCAATAGAGGCAAAAAAAGCATTAAAGCATGACATTTACTTATGATAAAAACCTCAACATAATAAAAGACATCCAAATTGAAGAGGAGGAAGTAAAACTGTCATACAGTAATTTGCAGATGACATATTATCGATATATATAGAGAACCCTATATATAAGATTCCACCCAAAAAATCCTACCAGAATTAATACGCTAATGCAGTAAAGTAACAGGATACAAAACATTCAGAAATCAGTCACTTTTTTGTTTTGTTAATTTTTGTTGTTAATCCTCACCCAAGATATTTTTTCATTGATTATTTTTAGAGAGAGATGAAGGGAAAGAAAGAGATAGAAACAATGATATGAGACAGTACCAAACCAACTAGGGTTAGTCGCATTTTTAAAATAGCAATAATGAACTATCATACATTTTTTAAAAATATATTTTATTGATTTTTTTTACAGAGAGGAAGGGAGAGAGAGAGAGAGAGAGAGAGCGCTAGAAACACCAATGAGAGAGAAACATCGACCAGCTGCCTCTTGCACACCCCCTACCGGGGATGTGCCTGCAATCAATGTACATGCCCTTGCCCGGAATCAAACCTGGGACCTTTCAGTCCGCAGACTGATGCTCTACCACTGAGCCAAACCGGCTTCGGTGAACTATCGTAAATTTAAAAAACAATCCCATTTGCAATTGCATCAAAAAGAATAAAATACCTAGGAAAAAATTTAACCAAGGAAGTGAAAGATCTGTACTTGAAAAACTGTAAGATATTGAAGAAGATACAAATAAATGGAAAGATATACTGTGCTCATAAACATGAAGAATTAATGTCATTAAAATGTACACACTACCCAAAACAACCTACAGATTCAGTACAACCCCTAGTAAAATATCAATGGCAATTTTCATAGAGCTAGAACAAATAATCCAAAATTTATATGGAACCACAAAAGATCCAAATAGCCAAAGCAATCTTGAGAAAAAAGAACAAAGTTGGATGAATCATGCTACCTAATAGCAAACTATACCATAAGGCAATAGTAATTAAAACCGCTTGGTACAGGCATAAAAACAAGTCCATAAATCAATGGACTAGAACAGAGCCCAGGAATAAACCCACATCTTTATGGTCAATTAATCTATGCCAGAAGAGGCAAGAATATTGGGATCAAGAGAATCTATTCAATAAATTTTGGACAGCCACATACAAAAAAAAAAAAAAAAAAAAAAGAAAAGAAATAGAAAAGAAAAAAGAAAGAAAGAAAGAAAGAGAAACTAGAAAACTTTCATACACCATTTAAAGAAATAAACTCAAAATGGGTTAAAGATTTAAATTAAGACCCAAAACCATAAAATTCCTAGAAGAAATCGTAGGCAATAAACTCTCTGATGTTGCTTTTATTCTATTTTAAAAAATATATTTTTATTGATTTCAGAGAGGAAGCAAGAGGGAGAGATAGAAACGACAATGATGAGAGAGAATCATTGATTGATTGCCTCCTGGGGATCGAGCCTGCAACCAGGGCATGTGCCCTTGACTGGAATTGAACCTGGGACCCTTCAGCCCACAGACCGATGATCTATCCACCAAGCCAAACAGGCTGGGGTGCTTTTAGTAATTTTTTGTATTTGTCTCCTCAGGCAAGGGAGACAAACAAAAAATATAAACATCAAACTAAAAAGTATTTGCATTGCAAAGGAAACCAGCAAAATGAAAAGACAACTTAGTGGCCCTGGCCAGTGTGGCTCGTTTCCTTGGGCATCATCCTGTGCACTGGAAGGCTGCCGGGTTTGATTTTTGTTAGGGCACATTGTGAGCTAAATCCTCGGTGCGGGGCATGCAGGAGGCAGCCCATCAATGTTTCTTTCTCACATTGATCTTTCTCACTCTCTCCCTTTGTTTCCTCTCTCTCTTTCTCTCTAAAAGTCTATTTAAAAAATCTTTAAAAAAGAAAAGACAACCTACTGAATGGGAGAACATATTCACCAATAATAAATACAATAAGGGGTTAATATCCAAAGTATTGAAAAGAAACTCATGTGACTTAACACTTTTTATTTATTTATTTTTAAATTTTATTATTTTAAAAAATATATATTTTATTGATTTCTTAAAGAGAGGAAGAGAGAGTGACAGAGAGACTTAACACTTTTTTTTTTTTGAGACTTAACACTTTAAAAAAAAACATGCCAATCCAATTTAAAAGTGGGCAGATGATTTGAATAGATATTTCTCCAAAGAGGACATAGAGATGGACAATAGACACATGAAAAGATTCTCAGTGTCATTAATCATCAGGGAAATGCAGATTAAAACCGAAATGAGATATTACCTCACACCTGTCAGATTGGCTGTCATCAATAAATCAACACACAGAGCCTGTGCTGGACTGTGGGCTCTGAGCACCAGCTCCGGTCCTTCCTCAGCTCTGTCTTCTGCCTCCAGGCTCAGGAGGGACCAGGAATCAGGAGCCTTGCTCCTACTGCCCACAAGTGTACTTTTACACACACTTCCAACCTCAGTGCAATCCTCTTCATAGAAATCCTTTGGTCCAGCCGAAGCTGGTTTGGCTCAGTGGTAGAGCGTCGGTCTGCGGACTGAAGGGTCCCAGGTTCGATTCCGGTCGGGGGCATGTGCATTGGTTGCGGGCACATCCCCAGTGGGGGATGTGCAAGAGGCAGCTGGTCGATGTTTCTCTCTCATCGACGTTTCTAGCTCTCGATCTCTCTCCCTTCCTCCTCTCTGTGAAATATCAATAAAAATATATTATAAAAAAGAAAGAAAAAAAGAAAGAAATCCTTTGGTCCTATTTTCCCACTGCTGGGCCTGCATTAGTGTCCTCCCCCAAGCTCCAAAAACTGTGCACTCCAAGGGCAGCAGCCAAGTCTTCTCGCTGCCTGTCGCTGTGTCCCAGCCCCCAGCCTCGGGGCTGTGTGCTGAGTACTGGTGGTCAGCTTTGCACAGACACCCTGTGCACTCCTGTCCTGCTACGTCCACACTCTGGGCTATGTGACTGCCACACCTTTATCAAGGAGGGAAGTCCACTTCCCCACCCTGTGAATATGACTTGCTTTGGCCAGTAGAATTCCGTAGGCATGACATTGTGCCAGTGCCGAACCTACAAGCCTCACTCTCACAGCCTCTCTCTGCCTGAGAATAAGCCTAGGCCACCCTGTTAGAGAATGGGAGGCCTTGTAAAACATAGCTTAGTCATCCAACAGAGGCCTTCCTACACCAGACAGCCCTGCTGATCCAACAACTGACCACTGGTGCTTGAGCCAGCTCAGCCTAGACCAGACCAGACCAGCCTGCTCAGACCAGACCAGCACAACCAGACCAACTCAGGCCAACCCAGATCAACCCAGACCAGATCAGGACAACCCAGACTAGCCCACACCAGCCCATACCAGCCCAGACAAAACTAACCCAGCTCAGACCAAACCAACCAGCTCAGCCCAGCTCAGCCCACACCAGTCAGTTCAGCTTGCCAAACAGCATATGCTATTAAACTGCTATTTGAATGTGGTCTAATCCACAGCAACACCGCACTGGCACACCTCCTTGGCTAGCCCAGATCGTTTACAGCTGTAATGGGCTGCCTTTGGCCTCCAAGGGCACGCTGTGTTTCAGAGCACCGCACCTCAGCATGCTCTCTGCCAGAGCTGGGCCAGCCCCACGGAGC